TATTGGGCCTGACCGTTGGGAGCAGAGTGTCTTTTCAACTTTTTTAATTTCCACTTCAGCACTCCTGTCTTCGTATTTTGAACTGTATGACGCATTTTGGGGCTATCTTGAAGAGCTGCAAATCAACAATATCCCTCCTCATCACAATGCTTCGCTTGGCACGTTAAGGAGTTTCTGTGCGTGTGTGCGTTTTTTCCGCCCCACTGCGTTCTGACCGCGTGTGTCTTTCTCATATTTGTGGCGACGGCGTTGTTTGTTGGCGCCGCTCTTTTTTTTGTTTCGCGGCTGTTGTGTCGTGTCTTGCTATGGGTCCGCTTCACGAGGTTACCCTCTATTTACCGCCTCCTCCACCGCCAATGCGAACGCTATTCCTCTCTACAACGCCTCTGCCACTCGCGCTGCTGCCGGGTGTTCTCACGTGTGCCTATCCTTTGAATGCTGGAGTGCACTTCCTGCTACAACACATGGTAGAGCCATTACTCTTCTATTATACGTTATCTTTCCGTCACTTTCTGCTGGTTGTTCTATGCGCTATCCTTTCTTTTTGTCGCTCTGTTATTATTGTTGCCTATACTTTTTCCCTGCAGTCTGTTTGTTTTCATCTTGTTCCTTGAGCTCGTTTTAACCTACCGCAGTACCACCATGCTCATAGTAGTGCAGTGCAGTAAGTGAGATGGTTAGCAGGCTTTGACGTAGCCTGGCCCTCAAAAGAAGCCCCATAATTTCACGTGGAAGTGGGCATCGTCTCTCATTTCATTTTCACCCAATTTGCAGTTTTATTCCCGCTATTTTGGTTCTTGCTGCATATGTGTGAAAGCCAACGGACGACAGGCTCCTTGACGGTTATGTGTCGTGGCAGGGGCAATTTAGAAGAACTCAAAAAATACCGAAGACACCGTGGAAAAAGCTTGTCATCGGCGGTTTTCAACTGTATGTCGCAGTGCCAACACGCCCAGTATTAGTGAAGGGGCCGTAGTAACGAGTTTCGAGCTCACCGCATCTAGTGATGCCGGGCAAGTGTTTGCTGCTGAGCTACAGCTTGCCCCCTCATAGCACGACGAATGGTACGCCGTTTGCGGTCAGCGTTTGCTTTCTTTTTCTTGTTCAGTTTTACACCGTTTCACTGTCCAGCCACGGAGTCACGCTGGAACATATGGGCCATAAGAGAAGTAAGGGTAAATGCTATAGGGTCGATAATGTCAACATCTGTTGGAGGAAGAGACCTCTGGCCCATCACGACTCCAAAAGGGAAGGCTTCTGTTGAGGGGTATCTAGTGACCTTTTTGCAGACTTGGGAGTCAAGAGGAGGCATTCCCGTTCTTGGTTCCCTGGCTGAATCTAAGTGCAAGGCGCCTGCTCCACTGTACGGTTGACACACCCGGCCTGTTAATTTTGGAGGCGTTGTGCGGAGGATATGACATGCTTTATGCTGACCCAGTTACATAGCTGCTGCCATAGGTCTGCTTAAAATCTAGTGTTTCTAGTTACAAATGAGCGTTTCACAGAAATCGTGCTACCGAGTAAGGTGGTCACCACGAAGCTATACTGTTGATTTTTTATTCGTGGGAATGAAATGAAACCCTTTGGGTAAAGATTTCACTAGCACCAAAATGGAACTATGATAAGGGAAAGTAAGAGACAAATCAATTATTAAATATAAACTGAGGTGCTTCTGGTGGTGAGAAGGTACGGCCAGCGGGTGAAGTCCTGCAGGGCGATGGAGTGATTTTGACGCACGACAGTAAATGCAGGATACCACGTGTCCTGTAGCATAGGCACGCATGCCAGCAAATAGTAATGGCTGCTGACGGTTACGAAGGCTTTGCCCTGGCAAAGTCAGCTCTGACGTGCTAGTTGTAGAACAAATGAGTGAAGTACCTCAAAAAGCAAGATACGGAGATTCACAACTTGCTGTAAATACAGATTAACAGGTATGAGGATTTGGAACGGAAAATGAAGTGGCAGTTTTGGAACTCAACTGCCGCGGCATTAGCGTTTTGTTGAGCGGCAAGCCTCGCGGAAGATCGGGAACCTCTCACAAGCCAAAATCCGTGCGATGCGTATGAAAAAAGAGCATTCCCCTGCTGCAAGAACTTTTGAGTTAGACACTGCAAGGGTTCGTATTGCTGGTGAGTTGAAAGCAGCACTAAGAGGAGGCGTAGGAGGGGGAGCATTGGAGAGAGGGGCGTTGAAGGTTGGGACCTCGTTCGTTGAAACAGCTAGAGGCGCTTGAACTCTAACGGGCTTTTGAGATACATGGGGTATGGCTGCTTCTGTCTGTAGTATGACTGGCTAGTTAAAGTGTTTTGGCTAGGTTTTCGAAGCGCTCCCGCGAGCGCTGGCGAGGCGATTACAATCTCAGGGAGGTCACTGCAGAAGAAGAGGGGTACCGATGGTAGCAAGGCAAAGCATCCGCCAACTGGTTATGCATAACCTGGAAACTTTGCAAAAATATGATTGCGAAGTACAGAATTTCAAGGGAAAATAAAGCATACCGGGAGTATGGAGAGGCTTCGACCTACTGAGCTGCTGCAAATAAGTGACAGCCGTATGATCGGTACACGTCACAACCTTGGCAGCGCATGATACGTGAGATCGATTCCTCAGAGCAATGACAATTTAAGGGAATTCTTGGTCGTAAGACGAATATTCCTGCCAAACCGGGTGGATGGCCTGACAGGAGAAGCCAAATGGTTTGTGTGCTTGTTCGTGAACTGCTCCTACTGAATAGCCTGATGCGGCTGTACATACTTGGAAGCAATTAGTGGCGCCGGACATTTTAAGGGCAGTATAATCGATCAAGAGATGCTTACGGTGCCGCACAATGAGTGTTCGAAGTTTTGCCCAGTGGGGAGTGGAGCCTTTGTCTGCGAAATCAACAACTGGGCAGACAACATCTGCAAACTCAGGACCCATGAACATGCAGTAGTACTTAACAATACCGCGGAACTGCCGTGTTTGTGACCCGCTAATCAGTATCATGGGCTACGCCTGAATAGCATGTAGCTTCTCAGCTGCACGTGTGGTACCTTTAGAGCTGACGGTGTAGCCAAAATAAGTCGGCTGCTGCTCAGATTAACTCTGCGCTTGCAGAACTTTAGGAAAAATTAATCCTTGCGGAAGATGCTGAGCATTTGCTGCTTAAGCTTTAGTACTTAAAGGGATCAGAGCCATTTGTCAGTAAGTCCTCAAAATAAGGTATGGCTGTCTGGCCCACCAAAGTTTGCCTATGTGGCTTTTATTGCGGAATTATGTGGGCAGTATAGAATAATACGGTACACACGCTTCCTGGACAGCATCTATTTCTAGAGCGATAAGCACACATTAGGGCCTACGTGGATCCCTAACACTGGCTATCGTAGAAACCCCTCTACACCGAGCGCAGCGGCTACAATTTAGCAGCACGCATTCAGTGTAGAGGAGCCGGGATCTCTAGGAAGGACAAGTGTAACAGCGGTCCCTTTTGCAGAGCGTTGTTGCCGCTGTCTGTTAAAAGATTGCTGCCAGCGCCAAAGACTGGGCTCGCCTACAGAGCCAGCAGGGTTCAGCCACGCTTAGAGCTCTGTTTTTCCAACATATTAAGTAGATCATTCGAACCATGGGTGCGTCTTCCACATTTTGTGTGGCCTATCCATTGCATAGTGCGCACTGCTACTACGGGCTACATGCGGCTTGCTCGAAGCCAGCCCTCCTAACTAAGTCCAATGCAGATTTATAAAAATAAATGAATCATTTAAGAAGCTAGAATATTTATAACCGCCGAGATGCAGCTCCATCGTTGTGTTCTGGGAGGCCGCGATTTTGGGAGCAGAGTCCACCGGTGTCGGTATCGCCAAATGCAGGCGCTTTACATGGGCCCGCAGAACCAAGACATCCACAACGCTCCGTCTTTCTCTAAGAACAACCAATAATACCATGTAATAACATTTCAAGTCATCGATTCTATAAACGTGAAAATATAACGGCCCACTGCTTGTAGCGGCGATGTATGCAGTCCAACGGAACGCGAAACACTGGCCTCACTATTGAGCCACGTGTGCCGAGACACCATCAGGGCCTTTTCTTTCTCTATAATATAATCTTGTGTGATTTTATATCTAATGCTTAGAGATAATTCTTAAGAGCAGGCGCGGTGTCCAATTGTGTGGGCCCCGCACAGCAAAACCAGCTCCTTTGCACACTTCGAAGGAGCGATGCCTGCCATCCCAACAAATCCCACAGAGAAAGCAGGCACAGGCATTGACATTTTTAGACATCCACTTAAATGCAGCATCGTCTGAGAGTAATGCATGCTACACCCGAAGCACGGCAGGTACAGCCCACTTATTTCAACAACTTAAGGTCTGCGTGGATTGCGGCGAACCTGTGGGAGAATTTCAAATGCAGCAATGGTACGAATTCGAAGGAATCACTCGACGTTTTCGAAACGCGCTCCCGACTATAAATTTCACACCCATTTCGCAACGGTGATTTTTATACAATTTCGAGCCGTCGTTGTGCAGAGCAATCTCAGAGCCGCCACGCTTCAGCGCCAGAATAGCAAGACAAGTGACTGTGGCAAGTAACTGCGGTGCAGTGTTCCACTGTTTCACATACATATGCGAACATAAGAGCAAGGTGATAATACACGTGGACATCTGGTGTGCTCCGCTTCAAGGCAGAACAAAGCGTTTCTCCAGCTTTTTCCAGCAGATTGGTGAGAATATAGTAGGCCCCTGAAAGCGATGATCCGTGTCTGTGGACCAAGTCTGGCAGACATTGCATCTTTCGTAAGACTTCACCTCGTTCAGCCTCTGCGAGAAAGGAAGCCCAACGATGGGAGGAATGTTGACTCACTGCTCGTTGTAGTCTAACTTGAATGCAAACCGCTGGAGAGGCAGCAGGATGTACAACTCTCTGCGAAGGAAGCCAGCATTTCACTACTTCACTTTTTTCGTAGACAGTTTGAGCTCGTAGATCTTGGAGTTCTGTGGTGGTTTTCGACCGAGATCTGTGAATCCATGTCGAACGTATTTTCTTTGCTAGGGCTGCAGCGCCAATCTTATTTGCATGGGGACTTTTTAAGTCCCAACTGCACACAAGAAAGCAATCAACTGGCTGATAGTGCACTTTCTGCAAGGCCCGGTCTTCTGCAGCCGTGGAGACACAGCATCCTATTTCCATTAAGGGCAGCTGTATTTGCCTCAGTGTTGGCAATTGTATTTCTCGTCTCGTATTGCTTTATTTTAAGCTCCAAAGGGATCCCATATCTGAATGCAGCTCGACGGCTGGCCGCAACTGGGAAAAGGGAGAAGAGTGAAAATGGGCTGGAAGATGAAGCCACTCAACATAACGCCCGGCAGATGTGCGAAACGGAATTGTACCAACAGCTTCATGCATCGGATTCTGCACTATTTTACCCCCATATGCAAGAATTAGATACTCTATCAGAGGCAGAAGAACCAGAAAAAAAACGACGGAGAATGGAAAGCTCAGTGGCTTCATACAGTCACGAAGGAGTGTCAACTATTCAGCAGAAGCCGGGCGATTCAGTAATGGATTATACAAGGACAGCGGTGCCAGCCGGAAACTTAAGCCTACCATGGTATGCTCGAAAAAGTGCGGCTGCAAAGAGTATTTATGAAGAAACGTCGGCACCGGGTCAGCTGCATCACGTCGCACGACTGTCTCCCAGTTTAGATGGCCTCACAGTATATGCCCAGCCGCCAAAAGCACAGAATGATGGAAGACCTTGCGAAGATGGGGAGCCGTGGAAGAAGAAACGGGAAACAATCGAGTCAAACAGTGAGTGGCAGTCCAGAGAAAGCTTCATCGCTTCAGCCCAAACGCCAGCAGACTCAGCAGAGAGAGCACAACTGGCTGAGGTGCCCGGCCAGCTACAGAAGGAAGGCGTGCCAGGGGCACTGAATGCAGACGTTGAAGGGCTGGAACTCGCAGACTGGTTACTTGACATCGCGCAGTCGTCTCAAACCTTAAATAATGTCTTGGAGTCTCTGCGGTCCTCCGACCCACAAATAAGCGAAGCAGTGGATTACGGTGGTGATGGCCACCAGAATTCGGTGGATGCATCTAGTAGTGAGTGGCAGTCCGCTGCCAGCCAAACGGTTGGAACTCACCCGTTAAAGAACTTTGCCCAGATAGCGCAAGCGACCGAACAGCACGAGTTGGTGCGGGAGGCGCACCTGCCAGACGCACTGAATCCAGATGTTGAAGGGCTGGAACTCGCAGACTGGATACTTGGCCTGGCGGAGTCGTCTCAAGCCCAAAATAATGGCTCGGGGTCTCTGGAGTCCTCCAAGCCACAAACCAGCGAAGCAGTGGATTACGATGGTGGTGTAGGCGAACAGAATTCGGTAAATGGATCTAGTAGTGCGTGGCAGTCCGCTACCAGCCAAACTGTTGGAGCTCATTCGTCAACGGGTTTTGCACAGCAGGTGCAAGCCAGGGAACAGCACGAGTGGGTGTGGGAGACGCCACTGCCAGGGGCGCTGAATCCAAATGTGGAGGGGCCGGGACTCGCAGACTGGATACTTGGCCTGGCGGAGTCATCTCAAGCCCAAAATAATGGCTCGGGGTCTCTGGAGTCCTCCAAGCCACAAACCAGCGAAGCAGTGGATTACGATGGTGGTGTAGGCGAACAGAATTCGGTAAATGAATCTAGTAGTGCGTGGCAGTCCGCTACCAGCCAAACTGTTGGAGCTCATTCGTCAACGGGTTTCGCACAGCAGGTGCAAGCCAGGGAACAGCACGAGCGGGTGTGGGAGACGCCACTGCCAGGGGCGCTGAATCCAAGTGTGGAGGGGCCGGGACTCGCAGACTGGATACTTGGCCTGGCGGAGTCATCTCAAGCCCAAAATAATGGCTCGGGGTCTCTGGAGTCCTCCAAGCCACAAACCAGCGAAGCAGTGGATTACGATGGTGGTGTAGGCGAACAGAATTCGGTGGATGAATCTAGGGAGTGGCAGTCCGCTACCAGCCAAACTGTTGGAGCTCATCCGTCAATGGAGTTCGCACATCAGGTGGAGACGAGGGAACAGCACGAGTGGGTGTGGGAGGCGCACCTGCCAGAAGCACTGAATGCCGATGCGGAGGGGCTGGAAGTCGCAGACTGGATACTTGGCCTGGCGCAGTCGTCTCAAGCGCTAAATAGTGGTTCGGCGTCCTGGCACTCTTCCAGTGTACGGATCAGTGGAGCATCTGATTCTAACAAAGTCGCCAAATACCATAAGACTCTGCAGGAGGATGAGTCGGATGGTCAGGGGCGCTCTAAACAGCATTCAGGATATGAGATTGTGGACGCCTCACACGCAGGTTTTTTCGCTGCAGAAAAACACCTGAATACATACTCCATGCAAGAGGTGGCGACAAATGCAGCATGCGCGCCAGCAGATAGTTGTCGTCGTGATACCGCAATGGATGTACCAAATGCTATGCAAGTTCAGTCGATTGCATCTGGCACGCAGCAGTCTTACATCGGTTACTCCGAAAGACCTTGCCCGACCCATTTTATAGTTCATTTGGCCACAGATGGTGCATTTGCCACTTCGTCAGGCATGCAAGAGTCTTCTCCGCTAAACGTAACGCCAGTGACGTCTACAAATGAGCCTTCAGAGATGGGGCAGCTTCTGCAATCTTTTCAAGGGGTGCAGGAAGGAAACCACTTTTCTCGTGACGATGGTTGTGCCATGCAACATTATCCTGGATACCCAAGAGAGTTTTCCCGACCAGCTGAAAGTCAAGTGGGCATTTCTCATGAGCAAGCTACAACAATCCAGGTACGGCAAATTATATTTTGTTGTGCTGCCGTCTCTGTCCCAAATGAGCAGCGCACTGCTTGTCGACAGCATCTTTGTAAAAGCATGCATACTTTTTTGGAGGTGTTTCACTTTTTTTCTGCAGTTATTTCAAGGCGTCCAACTAGAAAAGCAAATTCCTTCTCAGGATATTCGAACTATGCAACAGTATCCTGTCTACTCAAGCGGTGTTTTTGGGCAACCTGAGTTTCAAGTGAACGAATCTCCCCTCCACGAATACTTTGCCACAGACCAGGTATCGCAAATAATATATCGTGTTGTTATCCGAACGTACCTGCCAAGCAGAGTACTGCAGCGTTCTTTGTTGCAAGATGCGCTATGTTTGACGAAACGCTTTTCTTGCTGAATTTTTCGTTAGATTACCCTGTAGCATTTTCGCGCTCTAGTCTGACACGCTTCGCTGTATTCACTGAATTACTTCTCAGGTACTGCCAATCATGAGTGCCAATTCAGCCGCCCTGATGGGCACCTTCACTTCTTCTGTTCTGATGGGCAAGAAGGACATCAAAACACACCCCTTCTTCAGGCTTCCGCCGGTGGCTCCTGGAGCGGTCGTGAGAGAATTCAGCCACGATGCTTCACTCCACCTAGGTCGAAAGAAGATATTCCCTTTCTACGCCCTTCAGAATGTGAAAAATGTGCTGAAGCTACCAATGCTCCAGTCGCACCACCTAGAGTACCTGATGAGTTCCGCAGAAGTGCTGGTTGCTTATGCTTCTCGCTTCATGAAAAGGAATGTGAACGATGTGGTACCGTCCCTCGCAGTCGAGTTTCTAGCGATTTCTTTGTTAGTAGTTGATTCTCTATATGCTGCAACCCAGATTTTAGGAGCACAGTCGAAGAGTGATGATTGGTGGGATTCCGTGATTGATTCAGTCCCACATTACGAAGACCCACCTCCAAGTGTTGCAAAAGATAGAAGAGCGAGAAAAAATGTCGAGTTGGCGCAATTACTACGTGAAATGCTGCAGTTTTACAAAAAGAAAATTCGTCCCCCGCCTGAATTGTTGGTTCCCTTAAAGCAATGCATGTTTTGCACAGCCGCAATCCCTAGGCTCCGCAAAAGCAAGTGGACTGAATGGGAGGAAGATGATCATCAGTGGCGTAACTCTTCATGACCTCTGCGAATCCACTGCGTGAAGAGACGATTTGTGCGAGTGTGTTGGCACGGCATGGGAACACGTTTCGTTAAAGGAAATTGCGTCTGATGGTTAAGCAGGGAACGTGCCATCTCCAAGCTGCGTTACGTGCCAGCATCAGAGGTAAAGTAACCTGGATACACGTTTCGCGGGAGGAATACAGCAGTTCTGGAATGTACAAAAAATTTTTTTGCAAAAGAATGACTTCCGTTCCGTGTTGTTGTCACCAGCACTATGACAGGTTGCAAAACGTAGGGGCAAACTTCTTTTAAAGTTGTGTGCACACCTGTGAGGATACTGCATCAACATCGGCTTGCGTTGCAGCTAGGAAGAAAATTCTGCGCCAGAGGGTTGCACGCCGTCTTGTGGCGCAGACCACGGCGATTCCTGTTTCAGGAATCGCCGTGGTTTCAACAAGTATCCAGGAATCTACATTTCTTCGTTATTCTTCGACTGTCCGCTGTGTAGGGCTGTCCCGTGCCGCAGCAACCGCAGCGTATTTAAGGAGGGACGCGCCGCTCGCGCAGTGGGAACGCCACTGCAAGCCACTGCAATACAAAACCATGAAAAAGTACTGCTAGCAATACAATGAAGAACTGCCGTTAGCTTCGCTTTACAAGCGCATGTGGTGAGCCATACGCAATTTAAAGGCTGCAAATGGCTTCTTTGCAAGGCAAAGCTTGATTGAAATATTAGCCGGCAGCTACGGAATCTTTTGCATAAGGGTTTTTAGTTTGCAATAATGCTTTTAATACTGCCGCCATGTGCAGTTGCATGAACAAAGTCCTAATTAGCATGGTGACTGGAGTGGTCAACGCCCGACAGGCGTATCGATGCATCTAGCTCAAGAAGTTGCAGGCCCAGAATACCTTAAGTGCACATAAATATTTGTAAGTATATCGTCCATATTTATGTGAAGGCAGGCGTTTCAAGACCCGAGCTTAAGGTAGCTAGCGGACACCGGCCTAAACGTGGGTGGATCGGAACGGTAGCGAGCAGATCCAATTTGCTGGATGACGCGGAGACTCATCAGAATCGCACGATATAGATCGCTTCCTAAATATTATTGTAGTTCAAATACTGCTGAAAAACGTGGCTCCTGTTGGGAGCCAGGTTTAGCTTATGCGCTGCTGCCTTCCATAAGTCTGCTTTAGGTCTCGGTTCAACAACCCCCAATGAACCAGCAGTTCAGTGAAAGCGTGGCCACAGCAGTTGCGTCCCTGTTTACGTAGAAACAACATATTCCTGTAAATTATAATAGTAATAACAACTGCTCTTTTCATTGACAATACCCCAAGGATTTTATGGAAGCCGGCGCATCAATGTCGGACTTGTCTTCAGCACTAGAGTACAGGAGGAGCCGAAGTTATCTACGCGAAAAGCCTAAGGACACCACTTTTATATGGGACAGAAAAACGACACAATATGATATTCATGCTCCAGGGTCAAGTTCTCGATGCCGGTGGAACTGCAGCTTCTCAGTTACAGTCGCTTTATCTGCGTTTGCATCAGTCTTTGCAATTCTCTTCTTTGTTTCCTATTGCTCCGCATTCCGCAGAAACGCACCACTGCCATACAGTGCAAGTCGCAGGCTGGCAAAAGCAAACGAAGCAACAGAAACGAGCTTGACGGAAGCCAGCGGCCCACCAGCGTGCGGATCGGCAAATTTTCAGCCGTCGTCAACGCAACAGCTTCAAGGAAGGGACCCTCAAACTTCAGGCGCAGATTCTTCTGAAGAAAGTAATGGTGCCAATAGACGTAAAAGGAGAAGAAAGGAAGTATCCGAAGGCCTGGAGAAGTCGTCAGGTCTGCAGAAAAAAGCTATGTGGTCCCCGAAGCCTTCGGAACAAGTATCCCCTTTCCCAGATCTACACTTGCACCTTACTCAGCCCAAAGATGAGCTTTCCACAATAGAATATGCAGACATCGCTTCAGATGATCATTTTCTCGAGCCAAGCAGGGGTCTGCAAGCAACCGCCACTTCTGGTACAGCGTGCCAGCATATGCAATCCGGCACTAGTCTCTTAGCAACTGGACGTAGTGTTATGGCTCATAGCTTCATTAACGAGGAAGGCAGCAAGCATCTCACGAAAGGCCAAAAAATGATGCGCTGTAGCACGTTACAGTTACCGCCAGCATGTGAGTCTTCAGACGTTGCAGTGCCTCCTCAGGTAGTGCAGATTGTGCAACAAGGGTCGCATTCACTCTTACCACAGGCAGCAACCGAAAAGGTAAAATCTACAATGCCATCCCACCCTGAAAGCAAGCCAAGTACTGAGCAAGGCTACGGTGATCCAAATCGTCAGGGTTTGCTTCAGGAGGTATGCAACTCCATGCATTTTTATTCTAAAACGAAGTATGACGTGAAAACGAAGCTTCCGTTAGGCGTTTCAAATATTTGCTTTCTTTTAAAATGTTTTTCTTTTTTCTGCTGCTCCTCTGCTTTCTCCTGAGGTGGACGAGGTCATTGCGCACGACTGGCAAGCACCCTCTTCAGAAATCGTGCCGAATGACCAGCGTCCCGTGCAATCAGTGCACCCTGATCCCTGTGATCTCACGACGTTTCCTCCACAATGCCATCTGGATGGCTCTCAACAACGCCGCATGGACTCCTCTGATCAGAGTGGAAACGCCGAGGTGCATCAGTGCCTTATCCCATAAGCTTTCGTGCCGCCCTCGTAGTCGAACATATGGAGCAGTTGCAGGCGATATTTCTGTAAAGGCACTTACAAACGCTTGCATTGATGTCTATCTGTGCGTTCGAATTTGCATATTTACATTCTGTTGTAAATTACCTCTCCAGAATGTGAAGAATAATCGTATGCTGATGCTTGATCTGCCACTGTCTTGTTAGGCGCCTCAGAATGTAGAAGCCAACTGTTTAGCAACCTCTTCACAAGCCGTGGCCAATGAGCAGCGCCCAGCACATTCAGTGCACTCTGACGACTGCGGTTGTAGGATGGACTCTCAACAAGGCTCTATCGGCCTTCCTGATCAGAGCTCGGACAACGAGGTGCGTCAATGCCTCATCCCATTAGCTATCGCGCCACTCTCTAAGCCAAACATATGGAGCAGTTGAAGGGCATATTTCTGTGAAGGCATATGCATGTAGTTTCGTTGGTATCAAGTATCATCTAGCAATGCGTTCGAGTCTGTCCCAGTCTTCTTTGAGCTTCATGCATAATAGAAAGCTAATCATGGTGCCGGAATTTGCAGGCGATTGCACTGGCATGTGGCAATTGTAAGCCCTCTGCCGGTTCAACACACTCATTGGAAGATGGTGGGGGGAAAAATCTAGAGACACACCCGTTTTTTAGGCTACCGAGGGTGGCGGCTGGTGCGTCCGTGAGAGCATTCATGAGGAGTAATACTTTTCAATGCACCGTTTGGCGCTCACGTCCTTTCTTTACGCTGTCATCAGTGCGGCAGCTGCTTAAGCTGCCCTTCGTCGGCTCAGAAGACTTGCACCAACTTATGGTCTGTCTTGAGTACCTCGTCAGCTTTGCAATCTTCCAGATGGACTGTGACCTTACTGGTTTGAGGCCAAGGCTTGTTTGCAGTAAGCTGGAGATCGCGTTCATGGTTCTAGATGCGTTGTTCGCTGTCAGCGAAGTGCTGGGAGCGCAGGCAAAGCGAAATGAGTGGTGGGATGAGGTCACCAAAGGCATTCCCTCCTATGAGATTCCCAAAGCGAAGTCACTTTCAAACCCGGCAACGCTTAAGTACATCCGCTTGTCGCAAGCCCTCAAGACAGGTCTTGATTATTACAAGCGTGGCAGGCGCCCACCAGCGATGTTAGTCATCGCGCTGAAGCGAGGCATTATATCTACTCAGCTAGCTCTTGGGGTTCAGAAGGCCTTCTGGGAACCATTGCACTTTGATGATGAAGAGTGGAGTAGACTTCCTTGAAGTATCATTGGGCACGAAGGCAGCGGGATGATGAGCTGAAGAGCGACTGAAAACCTCTGGAAGACTAAACCCGGCATGATTCAGGCCAACTATTCTTCGGCAATCTGTGTACTGCCCGCTCATGCGCGAGGCCAGCGGAGTCTCTTACAACGGCTTCTTGTGGCTACTGAGCTCAAGCACAAAAAGGCTATTTCTATTAAAAACACTATAAATATGTCCTCGACACTTGGTGTGGTGGCTCTCACACCCGAAAACTGTTTTTACTCGAATCTTTTTCACTTATGCTGGGTTTGTTTGGTTGAATGCTAGCGCACTGTGACTCCTGAAGAAGCAATGACCGATAGTGTGCTCAAGATTTAAGCTGGTTCCACTGCTCAAGATACATCAATCTCCATTCACCACCAGAAACTCACTGAACATGCCTTATTGTGGGCTGCTCTTGCGCCAAACTGAAGGGTTTGCTCAAGGCAGACCACCCCAGCAGATCACATAAAACTGAAAGGTTTTGAAAATTTTTCTGGCCTTGCTTTCGGGCGTATGTCGAATGGCAGTGGCTGTTTATCGTATAAATGCACACCCGCAAGCTTTTAGCACACAGCGCACATCTAAAGTATTGCATTCATCATTTTTGCTCTTTTCGACGGCACTTTGAAGTGCCCAGTGTGCGTGCATTCCTGACGTTATTTTTAACTCACTAGCAGACGAACGGCGAACCTGTGAGTGGGAGTTGCATTCAAGCAGCCAATTTCCAGTATTCGCATAGTCCACCACGTCTTTCTGTTTAGTTAGCAGTATTTTCTGTCGCGCTAATGCCTCTCGCACGTGCAAGTAGATGCACTGGCAAAAGTATCTTAGTCACTCACCTCTATGTCTAGTTTTTTTGTCTTCACTGGCTGTTTCAGTGGTTACAAGGCATGAATCGGGGGATGCTTTGAAGAGACAAATGCAGGTTGTTGTGACGAAAACCAATATACTTGGTGCGCTGATGTCAATTATTGCGCATTTTACCTCGAATTGTTTGCAGCTTATCCTTTGCAGCTAGAGCAAGCGCTGCTCACGTTCATCTGCTCCAACTCCGCAGTGCGACTTTCCCTCGCCCTGCCTCTCTCAGCGTCGTATTGAAGCCCAGGAGTGATACTGGGTGTAGCGGATGAGGTGACGTCAGCTACCTTTATCTCAAAAAATTATAAACGCCTTCACAGATATTCGGAGAACAGGTCTCCGAATTCCTTAATGTTTTCGAGTCCCGCACACACGGTAACGCGTTCTTGCCAAAAACTAACATGGATGCAGAAGAGCCCTGTGGGTCTGAAAGTGTGCTGTGGGAATCGATGGACGTAGGCGGCGTCTTTTTGCGCATAGCCAATAGCTTGAAAAGAAACTATATGCCTGGTGAGAGTAGAAAAGGACTTCGTGCCACCCACTTATGCGCTCTCACCGCGTCATATTGCTCCCCTGCTGCATATAATGATACAGCTCCAGAAAGCCTTTCCTTAAGAAGCTTCGGCATCGCGAAGCCGTGCTACTCGTACCTTGAAGGCTCAGCCTATGCAGGGTTCGCAGTGCCTGAGCAAGGAGAAATGCCTGCAGTCTTTCACAGTCTTCCCATGGGTCTTGCTTGAGGCAAATGTTCAGCTGGTGACCGCTGACCCCTAGCCCTAGTCACAGCTGTAGGAAACTACCGCCACTCAGTGCATGCCACTGATGTGACGGCACCAATCGACCATTACGCCCTGAATCGCCTGCGCCAGCTAAGCGCTGATAAACCCCTACGTAGGCGTACAACTTGACAGCTTCGCTTGGTAGTAGAGTCCCAATGCGTTACCATCAAGCAACCATAAGCGAGGCGGCCGACCCAGTGTAAAGGGCAACCCTTGTAATTTGCAGCTGAAGGTTCACCAAGACCGGTTAGTCTCTCAGTCACTTCCCAAGGATAGATTGACCCATTTATGTCAACGACGTAGCAGCTTGAACAGAGTAACAACATTCAGGCACTTCTTTGGTCCCCTATGTTGTCTTCCCTAGAGTGAAAGTACTCCAGCATGGCTTGTCTTTACCGTCCTCAACCAAGTGCTGCTCTGACCCAGCTCCTTTACTCTGTTGTCTGCATTGTATATTAGTGGCGAACCTCCGTCTGAAGCATGCCATTTCCTTTTTCGTGAAGCTTTAGTTTCAGTCCAATATTCCGCTAGCCCTACGCTTTCGACGGACAGCACGCCGGAGAAGGCAAGCAATCGAAGCTCTGTAACAGCTTGCTTTCTCTTTCGAGTTCCTCCCCCTATGTGTTTGTAACAACGTAATGCGACCTACTTCTGCGCGTCGGTTTCACGAACTCCTGATGTACAAAGCATGAATACCGTAAGTGCAGGCAGGCGCCAGCAACAGCAGCAAGCTCCCCCGCTCTGAACAGAGATTACTACTGGTGAAGCATATGCACCTGTTCCACCCCACAACTTAAGTCGTGTGTGCACTTCTAGACCTTATAAAACCCCAAAGTGTCACTCTGCCTACTTCAGTCGTCGACTACTTACTCCAGATGCTTAAGTTAATAACCAGCATCCCTCGAATCGTCGCCAACCCCGATCCTAGCGGTGTACTCGTATTTTCTCTCAACAGTATGAATCCTTGTATCGCCACTACAAAGACGACTATCACAGTGGGCACAATCGAGCTAGTCAAGAGTCTCATTCGTTGCCACGGATTTCCCGAAATACTTGTTTCGTGAAGAAGCCTTTATTTGTAATATGCACTCGGGCGAAAGCTATGCGGAAGCGAATCCACAAAGTCAAACTTTACCAATTTTCTGTGATGATCAGCCCGAACGTATTGAAAACACTATGAGGCAGGTACTTCTTGCTTACATACAGTGAGATGCGCGCTGACGGAAGCGGTTGCTTTATATGCTTGAGCTAAATTACAACACGACAAGCTACTCCCCTGGTGAGCTCACAGCTTTCCAGGGGATGATCTGTCAGCAGCGCCTAAGTGCCACCGACTTTGACACTAGAAATGCCATCACTCCAGCCTCTGCGTTGCGTATCACCAAGACTTTTCAAGAGCAGTCCAGTCTGACGCGAGCCCAGTTCTTACTTGCCAGTTGGAGTTCGACAACGTGCGCAGACTCGATACATGATCTTTGGAGTGCTGCACAAGACAAAATGTAGTTCAAAAATAAGAAATTACCACTTCTCAATGCCCTACAGACATTTGAGTCTCTTCATCGATTACCCTTTCTGGTCACGAGACGCATTAGCAAAGGCCGGTCACTCCCTTCGCATTCCCCCAACCCGAGTTTTTCAAGATGCCTTCCCTGTGCCTCACGAGGCAACTCCATAATAGAGGGGGGGAAATGTGGGTGGCTAAATCCCCGTGACAGACGCATCGGGGCAGCAATCCCATGTGTTGTCTGAAGCTAATTAATAATGAACTAGCGAGGTGTTTGTGCCAAAACTGACTACCTCCCAAAGTGGCAAAGCTACTCTGGAGACTAGCGCACGCGGGAGTTCTTAACTCTCTCAATTCAACGACTCCGAAGAGTACGCCGATTTCGGTCCCTTTTCCGACGCCCTATGTTGTCACCCCCTTCCTATTTCTCCCTCTTACTGACTTTCCGAAGTAGAAAACCAGGAACCTGCCCGTCGCCTCCCTTATCCGGTGCTTCTTTATGCAAGAACGCTGCGCAACCTTGTCAATCACTACAGTGAGTCTGCAACACTTAAAGCCTTCAGCGCAAGAGACCCAGGGTGCAGCCTGGGTACTGTTGCGCTGGTACGAATGAGAGTGAGAGTTCATTCTCAACCATACTTTCGTGCATGTGGAAAATATACATGTACACTGAAAAATGCACAACGATTTACAGCCGCACGGCCACGCAGTTGTGCCGCAAGGGTGCGCAGACACTGGATCAAAGTAAGCGTACACACACACTAGCGGACTCAAATACGCGTCCGCGCCGTTTAATAAACAAGCATGATGATATTTTTGAGTGCAAAAATGGACACGTGTTGTATTAAAGTGATATGAATCACAAACACTTCTTTCGTTTTCATGCAACGACGGAAATCCAGATAAATAGAATAACGACTAGCAGTTTGTTGTAAACTAGGCAAGTAAAGCCAGGGACGAACAAAGCTTTTCCAATCAAATAGACAATTGTGTACTACTGCGCCACGTCAGAAACGATGAGGTGGGAAGCGATGCATCCCTTTGGCGACTACGCCAAGCACGCACCCCAGCAGCAACAAAGCAACAGCTGAAGCCACTGTAGCAATAGGCAACAGCAGGAACAATGGAACAAGTGCCACAAATAAAGTTCCACAGTAAATGAGAACAGCAGCGAGAATAGTGACGGAAACACCGGTGCCGGCAGAAGAAACAGGAACGCGGCTACAACAAAAGGAAACAAAGTACAGGAGCAGCATGGACTAAAGCAACAGAGAACCCTGATAAAACACACAGTCGCAACAGTGAGGAGAGCAGCAGCGGCAACTTCGGCAGTAGCAGCAGCTGCAAAAGACAACAAAAGACTCATGCAACCGGGTCAAAACCAGTCGCACGAACAGCAAGCACAGCGACAGGTCCTAAAAATGCAGCAGCACCAAAAGCAATGACAGGAGGGGCAGATGTAGCAAGCACAGTAATCACATGATCCGTCAATGTGCTGGAATCCTTTGCACAGCGATCATAACATGGCAGCGATAACTTGCCCGAATCTCATCACAGGCCACATCTACGACTGAGCAGCAGTAACTGAAAAATAAAGCAAACGTGGGGATCAGACAGCCTGCTGAACCTCGAACGGCACAAGCAGATGCGCTTGTGATAGGTATATCCTGACCTGAGAGCGAAGGTGTTCAAATTTATGAAGAAGTCCTTTTGAAGCTTCTGGGCGGGAGTGTTTTGCTGACGCCGATGGCTGCGAGCGGAACGGAGAGCCCCCGAGTCCTTTTATTACGCTAATTCGTGCAGGCGTTATGCCCGCGTTTCTCTATCACCCAGAGGGGGGCCATTTTTACTTCCCGTAGATGGCATCCTTCCATATCAAAACGCGTGGTAAATTTCTCCTAGTTCCACCTGAGCTGCGTCTAGTGATGTCTTGGAAGACGTGGAAACAGCAAGTGCTCCCTAGCGCTTCTGATAGCAACGTGACTGTCATTTGCTCAAATGAGCATTGCATGCAGAACAACTCGTAGGCTGCCTGTAATGTACGTTTCAGAGCGGAGCAAGACAAAAAATACACCGCAGTGACTGCGAGGGTTGAGGGACTTACGATATCTGTTCCCCAGTAGTATTTATGTTTGTGCTATCTTCTGCAGCAAATGGGACCGGTAGCGTAAAGAAGACGCGAGTGTGCAATTTCTCGAAGCTGGATTGTACCACCATGGTAAGCAACAAACCGCAAATAGCGCGCCCATTCTCACTGCTCGCAGCAGTGTTTCTCGGCCGTCACTGATTCTTGGAAGTATAAGTCAGGAAAATGTCCCGATAATGCCCTGATCTCCTTGGTAATTATTCTTCTCCACCGACACCACCCAATGACCAGGGGGTGCCCACAGAATCGATGATGGGATCTGGTGGTCCACTCGATGCTGATTGGCCGCAATGCAGTGTTCAAAGGCAGTTTTAAGTCACCAAGAAGAATTAACAGTATGTTTCAGGATGAATTATATCTGTCACCGGAAAGGTGGCCGCCGGTCGCAGCTTCTGAGCGGGCCGAGGCATTTCGGTTACATGCAGGCTGTGAGCGTCAGCTGATCTCACAGCGTCAAGCCTAGACTGTCTCATCAGATTAGCTGCAGGAGAGTCACTGCCTGTAGCACATTATTTCCCCGCGCAGGAATAAGGTAAATATTTAGGGCATCTGCGGCTTCTGTGTGGGTGGCGTGCGGCCAAGGTGCAGGCAAGATCTGGGCAGTCGTGAAATACCATGACGCATTACGCTCTGCTTCCAAATGAACTAGTCTTGGGAACACCCCCTGATTATACCCTGCACAGACTACTCTCAAAAAAATGCAGGGTGCTGAAAGGAGGTTGCCGTAGTCCCTGGGTCAGTTTGCACCCGCCATCACGGCCTTCAAGAGCCTTTTACAGGGTCGCAGCGCTCGTTGCAGTGACAACAGTAGCATTCTTGGTATATATCTGCAGTGCTCTGATTGCTGGTCCATTGTCAAAGTGGCCGGTGGGAAGGAGGCTGGGTAGTGGGCATAGTTCAGAAGTTGCTGGGCACAGTTCAGAGGTTACACCTGGAGAGGACCGTGACACGACGCAACCATGCGTTATCGAGAAACTGCCCGCATACAGTAAAGCGGAGTTGAGTGCCAATCTTTCAGTGGATTCAGAGCGTCTCACAAGTCGCAAAGCTTTGGGTGTATCGTTACCTACTTCATCCCAAGAGAGGGCTGAACATGCAGCAGGGAGGAAAGAGTCTACACCCGAAGGGGTCGATTCTACGGTGCATCGGCCTGCACGCAAAGGAAAGAGGAAGCTCCAGTTCAGTCTCAGCGAGCAGAAGCAAACAGGAGCCAAGCGACAAACAAAGGCAGCTAAGGTGCAGTCGCAGGAACAATTGCCAAACTGTGCCTCAAGTTTTCACCAAAACTCTGGACACTCATCGCAAGAAGGAGAAGATAATCTAGAAGATGCCCATCATAAAGCACAAACACGAATGACTAACTCTCCTCGCAGCAATGCAGGCGCATCACTTCAGGGAAGCCCACAAGTTTCAGGCTTGACTAGTACCGTGCAGGATGTCCTGAAGAATATCGCTTCACCGGAAAGCTACCGAATTCTACGTTCAATGGATATTTTCCTAGAGCGTTTGCTCGAAGACGGGGACGGTGTACATTTTGAGACGTCTTGCCTTGACCTCAATTCACACATGCCACGCAGAAGCCACTTCGATGGCAATATAAGCCTTCCACCACCTGGTCAGAGCTCCAGCTATCCTGAAGAGAGTGATAATGCCGCTTTTCCGGGTGCCTCAATTGATCAGGGGGGTGTTGTTGCAGGCACAAATGCGGACTATCTCTCGGCACGCTTTTCTCCCGACGACGCGACAAGTGTGGATGCATGGCTTCATGATTCGTCTGCACATAAGCAGGATGGCATTCCTCCTTTTAGAAGTATCTTACAAGACGCACTGATATCTGACACAAGTGAATCTGAAGGGCTGCTGGAGGGCATGGCTGGCCGAGACGCTGCAGGCTTGCTCATGAGGACGAATACGCTCCCTTTGGAACAACCTGTGGGGTGTATGAGTGCCCTCTGTTCAAAAGATAAACTGCCTGGAGTACGCTTATGTGCTTTGCCTGCATGTGACACCCCTGAACCTTCTGAGGCTGTCACGAAAGACTCACAACCGGTCAGTTCAAGTTTGGTAGGCGCGACGCCAAATTTTGCTGTACATAGTGAACATGTGAGAACGCCGCAAGATAATCTTGCTGGAGCAAAGTTGAAGACTTCTCCTCTTCGCTCTACCACGAAACTGCCGAGTGGCAACCCCTCCAAAGGCAGTTTACGGGCATCAGTACCCGATCACCGACAAGACGCTGAAACTTCACTCCAGAAGGAAAGTGCTCTACATGCCAAGGTTTCTTCTACGATCTCGTCTGCAGATGCAGCGGTGAAGAGTTCTGCAACACGGCTACTGTCACAAAACGTTGTGGAGACTGGCCGGCAGCGGCGGAGTGGCGTACTCGTACAGGTGCCAAGCAGCAAATGCCCCGCTGATCCTGAACAGGCGCCAGCAATTTATCGCAGTAACGAAATAGCGCAGCGTAACGCTAAAACGACACATTGTTCAGGAGATACAGCAGCTGGAAGGCCTTCACAGGTACCTACGAAGAAGATGCATATGTCTGCGGACGCCTCAACACCTAAGCAGGCAAGTATTGGGCCTAATTATTTGAGACTAACAATTTTGCTAGACATGCTCTTCACAGTAAATTTTGTTGAGTACAGAAAGCACATTTCGCTTAGTCTCTGCAGAGTGCGTCACTACTTTTTGTATGCTGTGGGCGAAAATTGTGCACAGGGAACAGCGTCGTCTGAGCTCAGAGAAGCAGCGGCAAGCATTTCTCTTCGTATCGTGCGAGCACCTCCAGGCGGTTCGCACTTCGTTTTGAGACAGGTTGAGCAGGCTGCTCCGGCGGCACAACTTTCAGATTTAGAGGTACGTGTGCTTCCTCAAGTGCTTCTATTTTACAATTGACAGGTTAACCCCCTAAGCAGCGCTACGTACATGCTTGCCTACCCAAAGCGCATAATGTTTCTTTTGCCCTGCTTTGCTTCATCTCGTTCAAATATTGTCCACAGGGAACAGAGTCGTCTCAACGCAGTGAAGCAACGGCAAGCATTTCTCTTAGTATCTTGCCTACACCTCCAGACGGTTCGCATTTGGCTTTGAGAAACATTGAGCATGCCGCTCCGGCGGCACAATCTTCAGGTTTAAATGTACGTGTGCCTTCCTCAAGTGCTTCTGTTCTACAATTGACGACGTAACTTCCTATGTAATACTACGTACATGGCTGCCTACCCAAAGCGCAGAGTGTTTCTTTTGCCCTGCTTTGCTTCATCTTGTTCATTTGCCTGGCACTGGTCGTGCATGAGGGCAATGCGCGAGCTCTTTTTCTATGTGTTTTGTTTCAAGGTGGTAATACCCCCGGCATTGCTTCCTTCGGCTGCTGAACAGTCTGCTTGTGCAGCCGGTGGGCGGCCCGAAGGAGATCTTCGTAACCATCCTTTTTATCGCCTTCCTGTTGTAACTCCTGGGATCAGTGATAAATATTTCGACAAAGCCGCCGCTGATGCCGTATCGTATGTAAGGAAAAGGCCCCTCCATTCTATCGTTATCATCAAGGATCTCCTGGAGAAGCGAGAACTCTCCAAGCATCAATTTGAGGTTATTGTAAGGGAGACAGAACGCTTATACGGGTTTGCTATGTGCAAGCTGCCGCTCGTCGTGCCCTATTCTCAGCCAGCCCGCGTAGCATGGATTCTTGGGCGTGTTTTTGTATTACTTGACACCCTGTACTGTGCAATCCAGGTCCTTGGCCCGAATGCAAAAAGTGCGGAATGGTGGCCGCTATTGATGGATCGCTTAAGCCCTCTAATGCACAAATACATCCCAGTCTGTAGCAATAGAAGCGCATCATGTAAGTATATTGATCTTTGCAGAAGGTTAATAATTGCTCTTCGCACCTACAGAACTGGCTCTCGCCCCTCTGCGGACGTTGTTGTCGGATTGAAGCGTTCGCTCTTTTGTGATATTGGCATCTTCAAGCAAACAGGTGTGTCGTGGGAGCGGTGGAGAAAAGATGAACTTTCATGGAAATACTCTACGAAATGCTGACTGTAGTGGCAGCGTTAGAGGCTGAAGAGGCAAGCAGTAAGCTGGCTTGTTCTCCGTTCGGAAACGTAAAAGCGACGCGATGTCAACGGAAATGAGCTGTTTACCCAGGGCACTGGAGAAATTACGCCAGAGCTGATTGATTGGAACGGCTGTTTGTTGTTAGTGATTCGCTGCCAGAGCTTTCTAACTCAGGCGTGTGCGTTTACGCACTTTGCCTTGATTTGAACTTCAGCTCAGGTGCATTCTATGCTGGCCATTTTTGGGGCTAGAGCAGGCGCTTCTCTGTTTACCTGGGTGTTTCAATGTGCATCCTTTTTGTGATGTATGTAATATTCCGGTGGATTGGTGCTGGAATGAGATATTCCGACTTTGCCATCAAGATCTGTGCAGTGTACTCACAATTTTATGGAACGTGGCGTAGTGTTTCACTTCTTTTTTTTGTTAGCCCAGTGATATGAATTTCGGAACTGTAGGCCTGCAGTGCAAATTTATGGGCGTAACATTGCTCACTGTGAGAGCTTTCCGGGAATGAAACTGATGACAAACCCTTTTGCGAACCCGCTCAATTTACTGAAGTAGATATTGCAATAAATGTTGAACTTTTAAATAAGAAAAACTGACGTTGTGTTCTTGAGTAGAGACAGACTCCCGCAGCTCTTGGAAACATGCTCATTGTAGGCTAAGTAACTAGCATAGGCGATGAAAATGTTTAAATGAGGAGCAAGGAACGCACTGATTGAATCATTCTCACAACTGGAAGCCTTAGATTATCGGTTACAAGACTACATGTTTCTTCATTCTGTCTCAGCTGGGAGGTTCTTGTCTACTTTTCAACCGAATTTATCTAACGTTCTCTTGACTAGAAACCTTTTAATTTCGTGACTTCGTGGCTTCAACCGCCTTTGAGGTCTGTGATGAAAGAGTATTTCTAACGAAAGAACAATGCCATCATCTGTGGAAAGCACTCGATTGTTTTATGCGCTAATGAGACTCGCAGCAGCTTCACCAAAGCTACAAAACTCTCAACTGGTTTTACGGGAACATTTGGCTTGGTGTGATTCCGTTTACTTGCTTGCGAAAATGGCGCAGCAATGTTTACTGCGCCCTAAGTGTGCTTGCTGTAAGCAGTTCAAGAGTAACGGCAGCACCACTTGCCCTGGAGTCCTCTTTCCGTGATCTCCGTAACTGCAGATGAAGGGCTTGCGGAAGAGTACGAGAAGCATCAACGTGATATTAGGCAGGGTTTGACGCGGCAAGCATGAATTCAAGAACTTGGCGCCAGTTGAACTCACGCGAAGAAGAGTTGCTACGTGCTACCTAGGGCACCTCCAAATGTGTTTAGAATGACAGTTATCAGATCGCCGTCCCCAGAAGCAACTTCAGGACTTTGCTTTAGCTTATATAATTCATGAAAAATTGTTGACGAAGGGCAACTCGTCTGTGGTAGCCTGCTACTGTAGCTACTGCAAGTACAGCACCACATCCCTGCAGAAGGATTCCGCTGGCCAGAACATAACCAGTCCAACACCCAGCATTACAATGTACCTGGGTTCCAAAATTCTCTCATTTTTCGCTTTTACTAGCTGCAGCTGCACAAGCGTAATGCAGCTTTAAGCTTGTGTGCGTATCTGGCAGTTTTCATTGCATAATCTCTGACGAGCTCAAAGATTTTTTATCGTGAATCTGCAAAAAGTAACTCAGTGACTCATTGAGTGCCCAAATATGCTAGTGTTGCGGCCGCTTGAGACTTCCCAAGGAAGTAAACAGGCGCACAGAAAGGGATATGAGCAGAACGGGCTACCTTCATGGAAGGGGAATTTGAAAACTCCAAAGGTTTCTTATTGCCTCCATGCAGACTTATCTCTCAGCTACCTAGTGCGAATATGCTCAAATAGCGCAGAACCAATGGCAACTGCAAACGCTGCCAAATAGTACATGTTGTGGTTTTTGCAAAGATTGTAACTGGCACGAATTCGCTCAGAACTTGCTGATGGCTTTCTTCACTAGTATGCTAAGTTTACTACTTCCATGAGTCTTGTCCTATTCTAAATGATCTTCGCCATAAGGCGGCATCGATACAATGGGAGCAGTTGTTTAGGTTGCAGTGATATTCACTGCATCCGCATGAAATACAGAGCACCACACAAAGTCAGATAAAGGCACGGGATAGGGCTCTTCGGGCAATCCAGCTCAGAGCTGGAGTGAACTGTGGTGCGGGGAGTCAACGTTAACTCTTGCACACGTTTCACAGTCCTGGCTGATACTTAGAAAGGCGCCCAAGGTAAAAATTCGAGTGAAATTATGAAAAAGGTGAGCTTGACGAGGCGGGATCAACAGCCGCTGCAAGCTAGGACATGGGGAGGCAAGCGGATCTCAACGCTTGAACAATGTTTTCTACAGTGTACAGTACGTTGCCTAAAGTTTAGTGGCATTAGATCCAGCGGACCTCCCGACGCTAGTGACAGGCGACTGTGATTTGTGCCTCTTAACCCGTTGGCGTCGGAGGAACATTTACTCAAGAGACATTCATGCATCCCACAGCATGGTGGGGAAATAGTATAGTCATACATTTGCTAAAAAACGCTCATTTATGGTGAAGGTTATCTGGATCGAGCAGGGATAGGCAGTGTTCAAGGTAAGTGTCCAGTGTCGAGATCTGTTAGAGGTGGGCGCCTCTCCTCAAGACATGAACTGTCAGACAGCAGCAAAGCCTGTCTTTTACCTGTTTTAAAATGCCTACGATTTCAATATACTTACAAGCTACTGTGTAAGTAATGTAAAACTAGGTGTTTGGAGTAGTTACCCTGTACTTCGCAATCACAGCCAGGGTCGACAGCAAACAGTGATGTAAGCTTATGCACGAAAGTACAGCGTTAACCTACAGTGGATGCTGTCCGCTCGTTTAACAGGCTCGTGTTACCTTAACTACAATATTTAGGGTTATTATCCCAGACTAATCATAGCCTGAACCTGTTGGTAGGACGGAGGCTGCTGCATTTGTTGTTGCCCTCGACTGATGGGTTGCAAAAGAGCAGCTGGAGAGCGCACAAGCGAGCATGCGCGCCGCCAAAGCGAAAAGGACATGCATTGACTTGTCATTTCTCATATAATTTCGTGTTGCATAAGCTAGTTGACACTGAAATTATCCTGAGCGGTCGAGAGTAGCGATCCTTTGTCTAGCATCGCTTCAGTCTACGAGCATATCCGTACGCCTCTACAGCTTTGGGATAAACATCCACCCCACATCTTAATAAGGTTCTTTCTTCATACTCCTTTATTTCCTGTGCAGTCGCTTCGTTCTTTTGGCGTAAGAGTCGTGGGCGAGCTAGGCTTCACAATCAGCTGCGCTTGAGAGAGTCTCATGGCATGGAGAAGGTGAAAGAAGCGCCTTTCTGGGAAGTTAGTCTCTTGAGCGAGGATGCAACTTGAGACCAAGCAGGAAGCTTCAAGTGAAAGGACAGCCTCTACCACGGAGGTCGTGACATTCTTATGTGACCGCCAATGAAGTTCGTGAGCAGAGTTGAAGAAGACCCAGCAGGATATGTCTTGTTTTCCAATAAGTAATTTGTGCAACAGAGGTCGGCGTTGTTTACAGGTGCCTGGAGAGTTGACGCTGACGAATGATGATCAACACAGAGCCGACTGACCGCTGAGCTGTATTCGAGGATTGCTTGGAAGCTTCTACGAATTTTTAAAAGCGTGTTCAGGCCAGTGTTCATTTTTCGACTCATAAGTGACTCCAACTTGCAACCTCTAGTCAAGATATGCCATTCAGTGTATGTGCAAGCAGTACTCTGTTTATAAGATCTCTAGCAAAAACTCATTTCATTGCCCGCCACCAGAAGTACAGTCCTTACCCAAAACTTGCAGCTTGTTCAGCTAGGAAGTCTGCTTGGCTTTTACGGCAGCTGCAAAATCTATGCGGGGGGAGTGAGGACAAATCTGACATAGGCGCGTGGTGATTGTGATAAAACATGGGGAGTTTCTTGCTGCCCACAGAGAGTCAAAATGTGGGAGCTATTCCTCACGATTTCGTGCATTCTGTGCACTCCATGCCTTCAATACCTTCAGATAGAATCGAAACACAGAGCGGTTCGTGGAATAACCGCCGGATTGGCTGGCATCGTCTGCGGATGCCGTCGAGGGCGCTCCATAGGCTTCTAGCGTTTGCCTCTGTCACAGCAGTGGCATTAATGTTGCATGCCTGCAGTGTGTTTGTCACAAGGCGATTGCCGTCGTGGCCGAGTAGTCGGAGACTCGCTGCTGGAGGAGAGCCCGAAGCCACATCAGGCGGCGGCGCTTACACATCATTCTGCGAGGCCTTGTACGAGTGTCAAGAATCTCAACAGAGTACTGTCGTTGTGACAGAGAGGCTTGCAGAGTCTACTCTGCGGCATCCGCCTCTGCCTATTTTAGGGGAACACCAAAGCATATTGTCTGAAAGGGCAGCGAATTCTGTTTTCGAAAGGCTGGACTCAACAGAGGAGCCAGCGCAAGAAGATGAGAAGAGGGGAGCCAAGTCAGATCTAGGTTCTGGAGGGCACGGTAAACAGCTGGAGGAGGTCCAGCTGAGCCAGACATTGAACTCAGGTCCCTGGCTCGGGGCGAACTTTGAAGACTTTGCAACGCGTGCCCCAAAACGTCACGGGAGTGCGTCAAGCAGTAAGACAAAACGCCTCAAAGCTAGCAACTTTCAGAGTGATTCAAATATCCCACCTCAAAGCACATCGGCATTATCTTATAAGGCACTGCGGGGCCTGGGTGGCGCTTTGGGGGGCGTAGAGCAGCAGCAAAATGCACCAGAATTTTTCTTAGGTGAGAGTCTGGATAGCACTTTGAGTTGCCATCACGCCGTCGGTGGAGGTTGGGGGTTAGCAGACCCCATTTTACAAGTGCCAAGCACTAGCGAACTTTGTAACAATTTCGGCCAATTAGGGAATGAAAACGCGCGCGACGTTCTTGAAGGAGTCGAGCGACTGCCAGGCCGAAGTGCTGGAGTGTCGCCAGAAGACCCTTCTTCCGCGAAATTTGAGAATTTTGCCTTATTTTATCCGAAGGACGATGCCACAGCTGTACAGGAGTGGATACGAGACGTCAACCACCACATGGGAGGCAATGGTGAATTTTGCCGAAGCCTGGCTGGAGACATTGAACGATTGCCATTGCCTGTAGTGTTACCAGGAGTCTCTTCTTCTGGCATGGAAGCGGGGAATGCCCCCGCGTCATATTCTCTGGAGGACGATTCGAGTGCCCTACAGCAGTGGTTACAAGAAGTCACGGATCACATGAGTGAGACTAGCGATTTTCGCAGCTGTCTCGGTCAGCCAGGCGATGGCAACTCGCTTGGAGCTCCTGGAGAAGCCGAGCGATTGCCATTTCCAGGAAATTTCCTGTTGGCGGAGGGCTCTTCTGTTGTTCCAGAAGAGAGTGACGTTTTCGAATCGTTTACTGCGGCAGGGGATGCGGGAGCCGCCCAGGAGTGGTTACAAGGCCCCAGTTCACTCACACAAAGAACAAGCGGATTTCACAGCAATCTGCAACAGACAGTAATCGGCCACCCAAGTGATTCTTCAATAATAGCCAATGCGCCGATATTCCCACGAAGTACTGAAGAGTTTCGACTTGCACCTAGTCTCCAAGCACAAGTGTTTGATGGCGCTTCAAAAGATGCAGTGCGTCAGTGATGGAGCTGAACACAAAGAGAGTTTAGCTGAAATTTCTTCCACCCTGGCCAAAAGCTACATGAGGCTCCAGAAGTGCGTATTGCGGAAACGCCTTCCATTTAATTATCAGCAAAGCTCTGCACCTGTTGCATTTTTGTAGGGCACAACGCTTTATTCAAGCGACGAAGAAGCACTGGACGCATACATTGAAGAGCTGCAGATGTCTGGCGAATTTGAAGACATCATACCTAAGAGAAGTGTCTCTCGTGACGACCCACGGCCTTTTGCTCGCCGTTGGTTGCAGGCCGACGACGATTTATACGGCAAGGTGAGCAATCTTTCCTTTTGTGAGCCTTCCAATGCTGCAGAAGTCATGCATTAGTGTAACTGCTTGCTCTTGTCGCATCTCCAATGCGAAACTAGCAAGAACTGTGCTTCTGTTTACACCTTTTCTTGCAGCCTGGACAGTCTTCAACGATGACTTCTGGCATTTCTGGAGGGAGTGCTATAGTAGCTGCACTGCAACGAAGGGAAAGCATGGACAACCACCCTTTTTACCGTCTACCTGCTAAATCACCACCACCCGGTAACAGAGTTTTCAGTTTGGTTTTGGCTTTAACATACAATCAAATAAAAAGCAGGCCCTTTCGACTTCTCGCTCTTGTGAAGGACCTTCTGAAGCAGGATTCGCTAAATGATAGCAGCCAGGATGCTCTTATAGAGGCAGCCGAACGGCTGTATGGGTACTCGCAAAATAACATGCCTGTTACGGCGCCGCGAAAATGGCCATATTATTATGTCGAAATACTGGGAACCATCTTCCTTCTAGTAGACGCGCTGTTCTGCGCAGCTGAAGTACTTGGATCAAATGCAAAGAAAGAGCTGTGGTGGCCACACCTAATAAACCGCGTGAATGATGCAGTTGGCGCCTTTAGGGCGGAACGCTGGCTGTATTTCGGCAAGCAGCGAAAAAACATTGAGCTTGCCAAAGCATTAGCCAGCGCTCTTGACGTATACAAAAATGGTAGGCGGCCTTCGGCATACACGGTGGTCAATTTAAAGCGGTGCCTTCTGTGCGACCCCGCCAACGTGAAGTTCAGGAGCACGTCGTGGAAATCTTGGAGAGCAGATGACTTGGAATGGATCTCTTCTGCACAGCGGCGGCTGCTGAAGCGGCTTTAGACGTTTGTGAGAGCACACAGTACATCTGTACGGCGTGCTCTTATCGCTGTCGTTGAGCTTACAAGGGCAGAACGAGTCTAAGCTGGCTTAAATTCTGCCTACACGAGAAAGCACAATCAGATAATCTCCTGTTCATACTGTCTGCTGTTCATGTATGTGGATTGCGTGACCTACTTCTGATCTCTCTCATAGGATATCAAGCGCTGCGCTGCTGCACGCTGAGGAGGATTCCACGTTTTTCCTCACGCATCCTTCATTTCCAGCAGTTTACTGTAGTCTGCATTCCTTCGCAAGTATGCTTTGTTTTGGGGCATTGGCACTCGGGGTGATACTAAGGGTTACCTTGGCTAGGTGTGAAGTATACACGCTTGGTCCTTTATTGTCTTGCAGTTTTTTGCTGAGTGCTTTGACCTTCAGACTATAAATTGTGATGCAGCGAGCTGGATAGGTAACAATGAATACGAAATGGCCAGCAGCTCTAACTCAGGTAAACGAAACAGAATGACGAGGGCCGGTGTAAAGCCTAGGCTCAATTCGAGTCTTTCCCTGTTCACTAAAAGAGGGGAGTGAAACACAACAAAACTGGAAGGCTTTGCAGTGGCTGTCGGAATCTCCTATTGTAAAGTGAAATTTATGCAGGGAAGTTTCCACACTTTTTGCACGAGATTTTGCACGTAAAATGTGTGTTGTGAGTTTTTAACGTTGTGCTTACAAGTGAGAATTGGTATCGGACGCGGCACTTTTCTACCCGTTAGGGGGTCCGATCCTTGAGGAACGGGCCATCCTGCTTGGGAAGGCCGCAATCTGTACAGCGCTTTTAAACCATGCCCCTGTTCGTACATGGATTCTACAGAAGGCTTGTCAGAAATTGGGGGCCGTGCGACGAATGACGGCGCTGGCTCGCAGCATTCTTGGCAGCTCCCTTCCTGAGGAGCAGCCGCACGTCCTGGCAGACCAGGCAAATTTTCGTGGAGATGATTAGACAAATATAATGCTCAGTCTTCCCTACGTAACAATGTAAAGCTGCGTGGAGGGCGTCGTGTAACGCCCATTCTTTCGGTGGTAGAGGATGGCGCAGTCAGGCGAGCACCGCCAAGTTTCAGTCAGAAGAGAATATAAGATACAAGATACATATAAAAGCGCACTGGTACCTGCCGCTGAGACTATACACTCAAGTAATCCTTAAGGGCTTCCTGGCTACAATAAGGCGGTGACAAGGCTTCCGCAACGGCTTATCTGGGGCTCCATGTCATGTGGTGTGAAGACTTTCAAGACCTGTGTGCGATGTTTGCAGCACGCAGCGGGATAACCTAACTTGGGCAATGCTGATATCACTACAGGCCATTAAGCTGGCCAGTGCTTTAAGCAGCGCAACGCGGTACAAGTATTTTGGCCACCGCCAAGCATTTCATGCGTGCGGCAGGGCCTCTTGCCCAGAAAAGTGCATTGCACTGGGAACAGTTTCTTTCCCGAAGTATTCACGAATGCCTTGTCATAATATTGCGGCAAGTTTGTAGTCCGACCACTGGTGGCAGCTTGTAACGTCTACGCTATGCGGCTCTTGCGACAAGGTAATGTACCAGGTAGTGTGCAACATTAAGTACAAAAGGAGTGCCACTTCATACTTGCAGCATCATCTGGGTGGAGTCCTCATAGACATTGTACCTGCACAGGGCCGGAAGCGGCACTATTCTGGAGCCGACGAAGAAGGCCGAACTTCCACGAGGTGCAGCTTTACGACATAATTTATGAGGCGATTCTAAATGCAACGGCTAAACCTGGTACCCGTAGGAGCAATTGTCCTTCTCCGCAGCAGTGGTGGTTGCGTGGCTCCGTACTCTAGCGGAGGTGTCTGGCGACGCCAACTAATCGTCCTGAACAAAACGTTGCGCATCAAAGCTCCTGCTCTATCTGAGTGGGTTGTGGTGGAAAAGTTCCCCAGTGAAAAACATGCTACGTTTGCCACTGCTCACCATTGAAGCAACGGTACCTGACCTGTCAAATGTAAAATTACCAAACATACGGCCAAAAATGTGCGGGAAAGTGGACAGTGACCCTCAGTGACCATTCGGCAGCCCGATCGCCCACAGATATCCGAAGTACCAGCATGGATACGTAATCATCTATTGGAATCCAAAACACCAAATAAGCCCTTTGAGGAGTATGTAAACTATTAATAGTGTTCTGTTGTCCCTCGGCGATCACCGGTGGTACAGCCTGCTGGGGCAGCGAGACTGCCAACTGTGCAACAAAGGCACATTTCTTTTGACTAATTCCTCTCTAGTCAATTTTTATGACTATACAATACTAAGTATTGCAACCTTTGGATTTTGTCTGAGAACCACACGTGTTCTGGTTTGCTCTGCAACAAGGACCAGGTTTCTTCAACAAACTCCTTTCTAGTCACTCTCAATCAATACACTGCTGAATATTTTGACCTTTCGAAGTTGTATCCGCGCAGTGTTATAGTGCAGCGTTCCATACCAAGTGTATTCCGCGAAATGTTGCTCCTCCAGTATAGTCGGTCATTCAAGATGAATTGCATACTGCACCTTGGGCATTGTGAATTGTGATTTTTTTAAGAGGAGAAGAACGGCTCACGTGTGAAAACAGGGAGCTGTGAGAATTATTAAATTCAAGCGGGACTTTATTCCTAGCGCTTGACCTCGAAATACTCACAGTCTCTCCTCTCCCCACTGGGTCACTGCAAGGCCCAAACCCAAGCCCTACTACACTCAACTGCACTTTGGGTTTGTTAAATTTGACTCACGTCGAGTTGTAAGACCACATCATGCTTTCATTGTTTTCCCTTGCACCACGACGTCTTTCCTTCACTATTGACGCTGCCCCCTGGTGACCCCCTGCTTGTCCCATCTCGGGCTTCCGTTCTTTTGCTGCCTTCAGCGTTCAAAAGCTTCTCTGTTTTCTATTTCTCCCCCTCATGTCACGGTGGTTTTTCTTTGATGTTTCCCCCACTTGGCTCTCCTTGGCCTGCAACTGCGGTTGTTACAGTTTGCGTTTGCTATTGCTACTCCTCGCTGAGGTGATGCTCCTACAGCTGCAATTGCTTTGGCTTTTGCATCTGCTGTTCCAGATCCATATGCACGTCTGGTTGCTGTCTCAGCTGCTACTGAAATAGCTGCTTTATTGCCGGTTCTTGCCGCAGTTGTCTCTGTTTCTGCCTCTGAAAATTCGGTGGCAATCGAGGAGGCCGTCCTGCTGCTGCTATTTGTGCCGTAGGTGTTGCGGCAGCTGCTCGTTCTCCTGAGACATCTGCTACGGCTCGTACACCAGCTGGTGCTTCTGCTCTTGTTCTAGCTGCTGCTGCTCTTCACATCTCAACTTAGCGCTGCTGCTGCCGTTGCTGTATAGGTTGCTGCTAGAGCCGCCGCTGCAACTACTGATTCTTCCGGCTTCTCTCATGGCGCCTTACGGCGTCAAGTGGGGCACCTTCGTTTATGCGCTGGTGTTCAAGTTCTCTATCTTTGCATGCAGGTCCATTCCTTTACACTGTATTACACTTTGTTGTCTTGTTTTAGCATAGTGCTAGCTTTGCTTGGGCTTGATTCATACGTGCACGTAATGCGCATCATCCTACGTAAACTTTTGTTTCACGAACGCATGTGTGTCAAAGTATTCCTGGCATCCACTAATTTGTTCTTGCTCTTTGTAGTACTTGTTTTCGTTACTTATCTACATAAACACGTCCTCTTTCTTTTGATTTAAACATCCATAATTTATTTTTATATTCTGGAGTTGCATTGTTATTATTACTATTATGGTTCTCGTTGCTGCTTCGATGGGCTTGTTCCTGTGTGCATGCGTTTGTGTATTTACGCTTTCAGTGTTGAGCACGTTTTACTGTTAACAATGATGCTGCACGCCAGTACATGGAAGTACATGGCCACAATCTTCTTTCCCCGTCTCTCGGCAGCAACCGCTCTTGGAGTTTGTCTGCGAAGCAAAGCGCTGAACTGTAAACAGCTCTGTAATATTTATAACGAGGATGTGATGTAGAAAAGGGGGAAAAGGAAAATCGCGGAAATTACCACGGGAAATATGAAGATAAGAATCAAGTAGACTACGGAGAAACGAATGCGTCGGTTGGGGAGGGGGCTCTAGGGGTCGACAGTGTTGGTGAAGGCCCGCGGGCTGGTCCAGCCTTCCAGTACATCAGGGCAGTCAAACAGATGGCAGGCAGGCCACTACGCGGCCCGTCTTCCAGGTAGGTGAGCATCCCAGCGTGGCAAGAAGTTAAGCATCGTCTGCAGTGCCCTGGTCGTGGAGGACTTAACCCACCTCGTCTTATTTTATACTCTTGCCCGCCGAGATCAATACAGGAGGCCAGCCAGCAGCGGCTCACGTGGCGACCAGAGCAGGGCCTCAAAGAAAGAATGATCTGGGATATCTAATAATACCGTAACAGGAACAAATGGGAGACAACACCAAGTATGGGGAAGTATTTTTGTCGATTCACCCTGTGGCTACGATATAGCCGCAAAACAGTGTTCAGATTCAGGGCATTTAGTGACAGCGTGCGAGTGCTAACTGCTGGGCCGCGCGCTTTCTCCAATAGCGCAGTCACTGTCAGCCCCCGATGAGCCTGCGCATGCCTTCTGCTGTCACAGATATTGCTCTGCGATGACCATCGTGTTGCTAAAGCAGCAGTGCCAGGGGGGTGAAAGCGTGGGGAATGGACCTGCTGCGGCAAGCTTGTTACGGCTGATCGCTATTGTCTCGTTTCGGCTAGTGCCACTGGGTGACACTGGGGGGCATCTGCTCCAGAGTACGACTGGCGCGATCGGCGTGTGTCTCTCTGGTGATAAAAGGCATATTTCACGACTCGCTGGTGGTAAAAGGCATATTTTACGACCCGCTTGATACTGAAACAGGCGCGGAGGTGCTGCCACAGGTCCGATTTAAAAGGAGGGTCTGATGACATGGAGGAAGAAATCTATCTTTTCGTGCTACTGCTCAGATATCGCATCTAAACTGTAGCT